CTGCGTTGAAACTACCACTAGTCTCTGAGCGTCGACTTGAAATTCACCATCTCCGTCTTCGGGTTGATTTTCCTCAGCTGAATGAGCCTTTATATCACCGTAAACTCGTCCCATCACCACTTTGTTCCTGTGGAGAAAAGGAAAGCACTACTCACTATTTTTTACTCTGCTTACATTACGACCAGCAGAGGAACGAGCTTTTCGAAAAACTCAAAGTGCTGTTGAATTGTGAAATAATTCACCTTGATCAGCTGCTTTTAAGATATAACAATTAGACAGTTACTAGTTGAGCAATTAATTGCAGTCTTTTCAATAATCGAGATTGAAGCTTCGCAGTATTTCTTCTATATTCTTTTATCTTTACGGTATATAGAAAACTGTTTAATATATTTTTTGTAGAAAATTTCATGGCGCACCTTTTGAGAAAACAATAAAGCTTAAGACATAAAATTCAACTGAGATATGAGCAAAATACTAAGTGACCACTTTATTCTGAAGCACCCGTTCGTTATTGCATGCAATTTCGAAATTAAATTGAAGTAAAGAAATAATTAAATCTCGATCTAGAATGTAAACTATTGATCGAGCAGAAAAATCCTTACCTTTAATATCTTCAGAAGAGTGATCTATTGAATGAGTCAAATATCGAAACGTACGCAATTCTTTGAAATAATCTTCATCGAGTCGATATTTCTGATTGTACTGTTGCTTAGCTGTCTTTAATGCATCCATTGATGGAATTTCACTAAAATTTCCTTCTTATAGAAGATCGTCATTGGCAAGTGGCATATTAGCTCAAAAACACTTAGTGCTCCCACTTGATGAACGTCTTTTGCTAAAATAAGAACTCGGATATGACATTTTCGAGAAACGGTGAAAACATACCAATGGCTTCTCGAGCGGTTCCAGTCAATGGGCGGCTTGCCATCTCTTTCTCTGGATCGTGCTTTGCATCGCTCAGAGCTATAACTTTGAATATACATGGACTGCTTTTGTTTTTTGGTTCAACTTCAACTTCAACAATTACAGGACACATATTAAACTTGCAACGACCCGTTCCACTGAACAAACTTTGTTCAGTGGGAAAAAGAAATCGCGCAAAAGGCACTGCAAGTAAGGCACTGCAAGTTGCAGTGCCTTTTGCGCGAGTTCTTTTTTCGTGTGTGATGATATCGAAAGGCGATAGGGCAATTGATACCGAGTCGAATAAGATGTGGAATGAGCCGATTTCCCCAATCAACGCATACATCACAGATCTTGCGATTATAGAATACTCGCCATTGCTCATGAGTCATTGTGAAGTGATGAACATAACTAGAAGTTGAAATATCTTTCGATCGCATGAGTTTGGGTTCAACTGAAGGGTTCGTTAATAAAGAAGCATTGTGCGTTGTCTAAATATACATACAAAAACCATATTAGCTCTAATTTTATCGAATCGATCTCGAGTAAAATCATAGAGAGGATATGTTAGCTGAAGTGTAGATATTTGTCTGAAATATCACAGTTATTTTCAGTTTCACAGTTATACTAAATATGTTCACAAGATTAACATTAGGTATGTAACAAGTCGAAGTATCAGGCCTTCGATACTTCGAACTTGATTAAGTATCTGAACTGGTCCTGTTATTTACGACTTTCGTCCGTAGCTTCGCAAAAGAGATAATTTATAAATCCATATTTTACAATGCATCTGTTTTAATCAATTAAAAAGTATCTCTTTTGAGAAACGAATATTTTGGCAAGAAATTGCGTTTCTCAAAAGAGATACATTTTCTCTCATTTCCATATTCCAAATAAAAATTAAATTAAATAAGAGGTAGAAGCAATCAAGATTATCTTAAGTGGTAATTAAAAATTTAAAAAGAAGTTAATTTGTCAACTACGTGGGGCGTTCAAAAAGTTCCGAGATTGATTTTATTTTACAAGAACGAAAAGCGTTGTAATGCAGGCTTGTTACCTCTTTGTAGTTCATACAGTCCTTAATCTATAGACATGACGGGTTCTGGTGTTATAATAACAATTTATTTTAGATCACATTGTAACCAGTGATTCAGATTAAATAGCACTCAGTATTTTGTTCATAACTTCTTTTTCTTTCATTCCCACGACACAGAAACGCAATTTCTTGCCAAAATATTCGTTTCTCAAAAGAGATACTTTTTAATTGATTGAAACAGATGCATTGTAAAATATGGATTTGTATCTCTTTTGAGAATATATAATGTATCTCTATCTATTTGAGACGTAGCCCTTTCGTCATAAGAAAACAGAAGCTTACCGTCTCTACACGCGATATGTTTTCTGTTTCATCATCACTGAATGATTGATTTAAATGCTCTGAAAGAAGACCGTCAACTTGTTTGGTGAGAAATGTTGTGCGTACTTTTCGGCGATTATCATGCCATGTTGTGTAGAGCCACTTTCTAGTTTCAAAGGTATGTTTTGCGGGAATTTTAGTAAGTTTCGAGTGCAGTACGAGTGCGACCAGAGGTGTAGGATCTTCCTCATGTGCCCCCGCTCGTATCAGGAAATTTCTTTAAAAACTGCTTTAGCCGCGGAAATTTTTAGAACGAATTACAATGGAGAAATCTTCGAAATCTGTTATAATAGAAAAATTTTGAAGAATAGTTATAACGGGAAACATTGTCCTTTTCATAGCTAACTGTTAGAGAGCGTAGATATAATTCTTTCTTTTTCGC